ATTTTGCTCACTCACTCCCTCTAAGTCACCATTTAGGTGATATCTGTACATGTACTGTATGTTGTGTCTCTGAGCAGCACAAAGAGATAAATTCCCGCTGTCAGAGAGCAAGAAAGGTAAACCAGACCAAGCTATTGTTAGGTATTTTTAGTCAGATAGAAACTCACTCACTCCTGTCCTCTGTTTCCTCTCAGTTCCTTTTTCTGGTTAATTCATATGGTAATAGGGGTCAGGAGATGAGGGGGTTCTCACGTTCAATGTGAAACTTGGCCCTTTGTGTAGCAGTGTCTCAAACTGCCATGACAAAGGCCAGAGGTGAAATTGAATTTAGCTGAAATTCCCCAGTGAGTCTGTCTCTGGGTTGGACTGTGCTTGACTGGAATGGCCTTGGTGCAGGGGAAAAACTAAGGCTCTCTGCTTAGCTGGAGTTCCTAGGTGTTAGAGGATGTTGGCTTGGTAAACCTCAGGCTTAGCCAACCCAGGGTCCATCTCTAGCTTGTCACACTCATGGTGGCGGTAGAGGAAAAGTCAGAGGATCACCAAAAGTTGTTTTTACAGTGAGATCCCACACTACTGCCAATCAAAATGGTTGCCAATATCCTGCCCTTGTGCTGTTCATACAACAAGCTAAGGGCAATATAATCATGAGCCAGCCTGTGAATTCAGACCGGAGGCCAGCAGTCCGCACCAGAGGTGAGATACAATGTTGCTCTGCGTCAACTGTGACGGAAATTTTGCACCGGTAGTCTACAAGCCAAAATCGGGTCCCTGATGGACTAGTGGCTAGGATTCAGCACTCTCACCGCTGTGCCCTGGGTTTGATTCAGGGTTGTGTCAGGAAGGGCATCCGGCGTAAAACATATACCAGACTTCACCATGTGAGTCGTCAGTGTGACGATTTGCTGTGGCGGCCCCTAGCGGGAACAGCCAAAAGTAAATTATTATTATTATAGTCTACAAGCCAAAACAACAATGGCAGAAGAGATGAGTGCGGCTGTAGCTTTGTTGGCTTTTCAAAAATGTATTTCACTGCATGCAAAATTGGTTAGTGTGTTTCTTGCTATGTGTGCAAATGTCATGAGTAATAACTGCAATCAATGCATTTGTGATATCAGGAATACTTCGACCTATTAGTTAGAGAGAAGTCGAGAACAGTTCGAGTCAGAGAGGCATGCAGACTTGGGATGCTGGTGATAGTGTGGTGCATATTATGTCATCAAAACGTAGCCCTTCGTCCCAAACAGCAGGTTCACCCTTTCTACACAGAGTGCACCTCCCCTTTGTTTCACCTCTGGTACTACCTACCGAGGCAGACCAGAGGTGAAATGAGAATGGCCCGCCATTCTGGCTTTGTGCCTTACACAGAAAACGAGATGAATAAAGGCACACAAATCCCCCCTCGAAAAGGCAGTGTGTAAGGGACTAAAGTCAATTACCATTCATCCTCCAAGAACCATGAATGTTTTTACAAGTCAGGAGGAAAGTGATGGAATGACAAACAATGAATGCCACCCTAAATCACATTGCTACTATGGCCAAAAGCATAAGCAGTGTTGTAGTCTAGTCCCCAGTGTTTGAGTCCAAGTCGAGTCTCGAGTCCTCAGTGTTCGAGTCCGAGTCAAGTTCTAGTCAGCAAAGAATATTCCGAGTTGAGTCCCCATTACCAGAGTCAGTTGTTAATGTCTATATTAAACTAACCTGACACAACTCTCACCATTTTATATTCCAAACTTTCTAACAGTGTATTACAGAGGTCACACTAGAGGTCTGTCATTTTGATGGACAGGGTCATAAAAATTACGTCATAATTTATTATTACCCCTCAATTTAATTTTCATTTTTTTAATGATAAGACATATTTAATAGAATTTTTCATTCATTTTCATATCATTTTTAAAATAATTTATGTATGGCACAAGCTAATGTGCAGCCACTTTTCATATTAACACCACATAAAGCAGATGACTTTTTTTTTGGCAGTGATCGCAAAGGCCACTAAAAATACTGCGGCCAGTGTGCATAAACTAGCATATATCAATCTAGCATTTGGGTCCACCGCTGAAACCCTGGCCTGAAAACTGAATCAGCGCTCTGCTGCCGTACTGAAGACTGGACTTGGAAGCTTCACTTCAGTCAAAGTTTCAAAGTTGGGAAACATTTCTCTCTGGAAGTGATTAGAAGTTCCTCTGAACGTGGAATTTCCCAATCCCGATACATTCTCTTCACCAGGAATCTGCTGCATGTGCTTATTCTGCACCCCTCTGTGACCCATAGCTGTCACAGACCTGTGGCCCCCAGTCCATGGCTCTTCAACAGGCTGTCAGATAGTGAAGTGCATTGAGTAGATCTCAGTTGTCCTTCATCCACTGGATCAGTTCCTCTTTTTTCACTTTTTTTTAAATCAGTCCCATTGAAATCATTTGGGCGTTTTAGTAACCCATAACCTAACAGAGCCTCTAGTGTATTGCATCACCATATTGCTGCGTAATTTGATAGCTAAAAATCATTTATAGAAAGGTGAAGCATATGCTTGATGGAAGTGGATACCGTGGCTACAGCATGGTGTGAATTAACGGGTTTTAATATCAATATCTTATGCCAAATTATTATAGCCTATCCTCCTTTCTGACTCCGAATGCAGTCAGTGCTTGAGTCAGGCTTAAGCACCAATGCTTAAGCCTGAGTCAAGTCATACGTCCTGAATATCTGGACTTGAGTACTACAACACTGAACATAAGCCAACATGAACAGCTGATCTGTGATCATTTTTCCTCTTCTCTGGAGCACTATTCACTATCTATTTGTGTAATGCCATGTTTTAATCTTACATGATTTACCAAGGTGTGTAACTTAGCCCATGAGAATAGCCAGTGGTCTATGATTATGATGCTTGCAGTAACAAAAATAAACTAGAACTACAGTTTTGCTGTTGTACACCTACACCAGCCAATCACATTTATGGTAATGGAACAGATGTAAGGTCACTGCAACCTTTGACCTCTGACCACCAAAATCTAATCAGTTCATTCTTCAGTCCAAGTAGACATAGACACTTGTGCCAAATATTAAGAAATTCCCTCAAGGCATTCCATTCACAAAAATGGGCTGGCTGGACAGACGGACAACCCAAAAACATAATGCATCATTATCTGATAAAAATCTGATTAGACATGTTTTCATGCCCTGTAATCAAATGCAGTTTTCATGAAATATTCATTCATTCATTCATCTTCTACCGCTTAATCCCTGAACGGGGTCACGAGGGGGGGCCGGAGCCAATCCCGGCCGGCAATCAGGCGAAGGCAGGGTACACCCTGGACAGGTCGCCAATCCATCGGTGAGTTTTCATGAAATATGTTATGAATACATATGAATAATCATGCAGGAGTAGTCAGATACTGAAGGTTGTGGGTAGATAATGGTCCTTTTGGGAATGACCTCGTTAAGCTAATAGTGGTTTTTAAAATGAATTTTACAATGTCTGATTTTTATTAAATCAAAATGTTGCGGCTCTGATATTAAAATTGCTGGGAGCTCAGTGCAGTGAGTGGATTTTTTTTTTTTTGTGAGTTTTTGGTTCAGCACCTGTATAAGTATTAATTACATACATGCTCAGTGTTCTATCTGACTTGGATTTTTATGACTAACCTTGAGTATTTGTGAGAGCATTTTTGTCCTCTGTAAAAAAAAAAAAAAAAATTTGTCATTGAGGCCTCCTACAAAGATAAGTCAGAGCTGAACTGATTACATTTATTTAAAACAAATGCTAACATTCACTTATAAATAAATGTAACTAAGAAATGTGTGGTTTAATCAGAATGTAAATGAAGCTGCATAAGAAATCAGAAGCTTCCAGTGATAACAGTCTCACTACCGTGTTATTAGCAATGAAAATCTGAAGTCCTGACCGGGACGTACGCATTTCATAAGCAGTTACTCTACCCAGCTATGCCACATTTTCCTGTTCAGTGTCCTGTTTCAGGAAAGACAAAAAAATGAGGTGCTATTTTTCAGACAGCTTTCAACACCCACCCACGGCGGTAATTCTGGGAAATAGGAGACAGCTATTTGCAGCTAAACTAATGTTGTTGAAGGTCACAGAGAGCAGTAACATGCCCTCACACTGATTAAAAAAAGACATAAGACCAAGATGTGTTGAAAAATTCAAAGGCGCCTTGCATCATAATTCAATCACATTTATTTATTTCCTAGAAAGGGAATTATGGCTTCTATCAAGCTTCTCAAAGCATTCCTCTGACACACACACATGTTATATATTAGATGTCAGGGAGCAAGTGTGGGGGGTGCATGGGGTTCAAACAGAAATCCTATTTACAGTAGGAGCCTGTGTTTTCTATAGGAGGAGCCAGAGGCACCTGCCATTCTAACATATTTACACTTGTCCAGTGCAGAGGAAGCAATTACAGGGCCATAACATTTGGCTCCTGGTGGAAAGAAAAGCAAAGCAGCAGTATTGTTAAATATGACTAAATCTCCCTAAATCCCAGGGGTGCCGTGGGTGGAGGGTTATACAGGCTGAGGAGGACTGAGGCTAGGTCCCATGTGCCAACTGTATCAGCATGGCTCTGATCTATCTGGGTCCACTGTTTCTGGATATTTGACGCTTATTAGTTTAGGGAGTACAAAATAAAATTTGAACCTTGATGATTGTTAACCTATCACTGATAATTTTGCCACATGGGGGCAGTGTAACAAAGTGTAAATACAACATTTGTACACTGCCCCATAAAGTAAATATTTTTCAAGTGGTGTTTCTGGGTATCAGATGAATAGAAGTCCAAGATTCACTTGCCTTTTATGCTTGTTTTTGCTTTCCACAAAGGTACATATTACTCTCTTACCTTCTAAATGCTAGCTAGCTGCTACTAGTGACTGCTGCTGGGCAGGCAGTGTACCATGGGTTTTTAGCACTTTTTCACCCAAAACAACTGTATGCTGCTGATAATAGTAGTACTAATGAGACCAGTGATAGTAAAGATGCAGGTCATGCAAAGAAACTAAAGAGTTAAAAGATCTTAAAACATTTAATACAAGATAAACAGTAGTGTCTCACCCTGTTAAAAAACCTGGTAATTCCTCTGCCTTTATTATACTTACAGTGACCCCAGTTACAACATATCTGTCAATATCAAACCCGTTATACTTTCAAACCACACTGAAACTCTTGAATCAATAGATTTCCATGTCAGCAAATTTCAAAATTTGGCAAGTAGCCTTTCACTATTTGTAAGTTGTCAGTAAGTTGTCAGGGTGAACCATGAAACATTACAGCCACCAGCTGAATATGAACATTACAAAAGGATGACAACCGGAATATAATATCAGCTGTTGAACGAGAAGCCCTGTCCCTGGTCATTTCTCCAGTAAATGTGCCGTAAGCATCTGGAATCAGGCGACTGTCCTGTATCTGATGTTTAGTTAAAGGTGTTGTGACACTTCACTGATAGATGCGACAGGACCTCCACAGCACGTTGACACATGGCTGATAGAAAGAGAAGGGTTTATTGTTTTTTTTCTGTCTGTTTTTCCTTGAATGCTGGCACAGGGCCAAGCACCACACACAATGTTGATTTTGTCATTAGGCATGTGAGAGGTGCATGTGGTGAGCTGGAATGAACATTCTTTCTCCTCTGCCACTGCTCCGCTCACCAGTCCATCAGCAGGACTCAGACTGCTTTGGATTTGTGATTTTTAGGATTAGGATTTTGGGTTTGCTATATACTAATTCTCTACAGTGCCAATGGCATCTCATTTTAAATTTGTTTTAGTCTGATGACAGAATATGTCAGTTTTAGTCACAGTTTAATCATTAAAGTATTGCAAATTTTGGTCTGGTTTTAATTGTTTAATTTAACAGAAGATATTATAGTTTTAATCTGTGAAATTCAGTTGGGTGAGTACATGTGAGGTGTACTCTATCCATGGTAACTTGTGTGTTTTTCCTGTTTATTGCAAGGTTAGTTTATGTTCTCTTTTGAGATAAACATCTAAAACGTCTGATAATATTTCTTTAGCAAACATCAAGGGGAAGATTTAAATGGTTGACAAGTTACATTTAGCCCGCACTCGCTCCAACTGATAAACATGAAACACAGCCAACTGAAAGTAATTTTAAAGTACATCTTGATAATTTCATACAACCTTAGCTTACTTAAATTAAATTGCAGTGTTAATGTTTTCAGTTTCTGTGGTGTTTGTGGTTT